CAGCTTCGCTTCAAGCACTCCTCTTGAGTTGTTCTCTCCAACTTCGTTGGAACTGCGGGCCGAGGCAGGAAACCAGCCCGTGAGCAGGCCAGTTGGGGTCCACACAGAGGGTCCACGCAGAGTCTCAGAGAGCATCCACATATGTGGTGGAAGCATCGATTGGGAATATGTAAATATAGTTTTTTGTATGTATAATTTTGATAATTACTATGTACCACATATATGATGGCCGGCATTGGTATGATGTGAGACACAGCGTTCAAAGAACAGGGCCTTTCCCGACTATGAGCCATTTGGATCCCATGTTTTTGCTCATTTGGAAGCCTGAACCACCAACTTTCCCAATGACTTCTACCCAATGAGCCAACATCCTCACCACTTCTTCCACACACATAACCCCAGGCAACCCCATCGTGCCCATTCTTGGCAGCCCGGCTGGAGGCCATCTTCTTGGCCATCACGGGTTGGCACCGCGTCGGCCGGCCGGCGAGGGGGTGAGACCCAAATTTTAATTTGGAAGGGACCTTTAAATTAAAAAACTTTCTGTACCGAGTGAAATTGAGGATACCCTCCTAGTGTGCGGAAGTTTCAAATATATATATAACACCATAGATGATTATAGACAAGGAAGTTTCACAGGAAGTTTCAAAATTCAAAAACTATAGGAAGTGGCTCAAGTGACCAAGTGTCAAGTTTTTTGACGTTGTTGTTTCACTGATAACACTATATTCCAGCAGGCTCCGGCGGCTGCACTTCAAGTCAAAACCCTGGTTGCATAGCAAAACCCCGGATACAAGGATCCGAGACTTCTTCCGGATCGGGTAATCGATGGCGAGGAGGATGTAGGTCGCGGGCCTCCGTCGGCCGCTTCATCAGGTTCTCGAGCAACACGTTGAGCCCTTGCATGACATAGAGCAACTTCCGAAGCAGGCGGTTCCATCCCCAGAGAGAGGGAAAGTGGGCCTCCTCTCGTGGTCCTCGAGGTCGCTTCAGCTCCGGCATGGCTTCCATGAGAGGGGGATTGCTTCGGAGGTTCACGCTCGTTGTCAGGGGCTCCGGTTTTGGTCTGTGAAAAACTGTCTGCGGCGGGATCATGTGATTGTTCCGTCTTGAGTACCTCAAATTCTTGGTTGTTGCCGCTGACCTCTTTACTGAGAGATTCCAATTGACCGGGGGTGAACTCACACAACGGAATCCGAAGGGCACCGGTAGGTCCTAGGTGACATTTAACCGTAAACCCTTGCTTCCTGAACCGCACCCGGAGTCCTGTCTCATTATCGAGGTAGATCACCGCCCTACACGAGATGAGGAAGGGCAGGCTGATCAAGAAGGGGGCGGCCACACTCTCGGGGTTGTCGAAGACGGCCGGCATGAAGTATGAGCCCTTCTGTCCAATGCTTGTCGGAACTGCCGCGACGACTTGGGTGCTCGAGATCCCATGGACGCTCTTGAAACGATGGGTCTGATCTTTGGTCCTGACTGGGAGTCCAGGAGGGAGACGTTGAGCGAGTCGTTCAAGGGTCTGCCGGCCCACTACCATTCGTTGGCAACCGGTGTCGATGGTTGCGCAACATTCATCGGGATACGGGTTCGATCGGACGGGTTCGGAAACAAGTTTCGGACTTTCCCCATACATAACCCCAAAAATATCGTGATCACTACTGGAGCCACCTTCCCAAGGGTCACCCTGAAGTTCGGCCATATATGCACTCTCGACGTGAGGTGCCATCAGGCGTCGATCACTAGATCCCGGGCCGCCATGACCCGGGACATCTGCGGAGATTTCATCGCTCAGGCGTTCACCTCCAGGGAGAAAAGCACCCTCACCCGGGTGCTCCTCAAGGTGGCCGCAGAAGATGGCCTCTTCCAACACATGGGCCTCCTTCGGGGCTCCACGATCTCGGTCCTTCTCATGGCATTCCTTGTGCCAGTGACCGGGTTTCCGACAGATGGCGCACTTGGTGACCTTCTTCAACTCCTCCACGGTCATGCGGTAGTTCCCTTCCTTGAAGGGAGCATTGTGCCCCACCATCGTGAAGCTCTTGGTCTTGCCCTTGAAGGTGTTGGAATACCCTCTCGACAGCTCCTTCGCCTTCTTGGCCTTGAGGGTCTGCATGTAGGTCTTCTTCTTCTGCTGCAAAATGGTGCTCAGCACCTCCGCGGCCTCGTGTTCTTCGAGAACACTTCCATCACCGTCTTCTCCATCGTGTCCTTCTTCGTCTTCACCTTGGAGGTCTTGAAGCGCCTCCTCCACGGCATAGATCTCGTCATCCTCCAGGTCATTGGGCTCGGCATTGATGTAGTGGGCAGCAGCGGAGGATGTCATCCGAGAACTCGTGGTCATAGTTCCTTTCTTTTCCTTTTCAATCCCGACCTGCGAGGCCTGGAGCTTTGTCTCGTGCTTGCGGATCCATTCCCGGATGTCTCCGGGTTTGATGGACCCTCGAGAGTAGTTGAGGAGCGACTTGATGTCGGCATCGGAGAGCACCAAGGCGTTGATGAGCAAGAAACCAACGTACCGTTCGGGAAGAACGACGGAGTGCTCAGTCACCTTCCTCATTGCCACGTCCCAGCGGCTGAAGAAGGCTCGAAAGTGCTCATCCTTGCCTCGGCGAAGATGGAAGGTGATCTTCGCCAAGGCGGCCAACAGGTCCTCCTCGCGGTCCTCACCGAAGTTCTCGGGGAGCTCTATGAGGGCGATCAACTCATCGCCGTTGCCATCGCTGGTCATCCACGCCCGATCCCGGGCGAGATATTTCATGGTCTCGAAAGGGGTCTTCGTCAACTTCTGAAGGAGTAGCGGCCCTCGTGCACGGGGACGGGCCTTGGTGGTAGCAAGCCACAGCCTGGCCTTGATGGCATAGTCCTGAAAGGCCAAGGATTCGCCATCCCACTCTGGCGGTGGCCCATTGCTTCCAAAGCTGCTACCACCGTCGCCCAAGTCACTATCGGCACTCCTGGTCGAGCTGCCATGGCGCCGCCGGTGTTGGCGGTGTGGATACCGGGCTCGAAGAAATGCCCGGAACTCATCACTGTCAAAGGCCTCTTCGGCCAGTTCCTCTTCATCCAAGTCACCAGGGCGTGGCAGCCCTTCATCAAACTCATGGCCTTCCGGCCTCGACGAACCATCGGCTGCTGTCGCAGCCGCAACCGGGGGCATGGCTCAAAGCGAACCACCAACCAGGGACAACCCCAAAACACCCCAAACAAAACCGACCAACCGAGCCAGGTCCAAGGGCCGAACCTGGCTCCGCTACCACTGTGGGCAGCAAGACCTTTTCACATGTGCATTGTCCCCTGCACATAGGGCCGCGTCGGGCCACCTCGAGAGTTAAACATTTCGGAATCGTGATTTCATCCAAAGCGACATGCTATTCACAGCGTCAGTGTTCGCGAGCGCCAATATGTTGTGCTGTGTTTGTTGACAGATTCATACTTTTGCTAGGCTATAGGCTAGACAGCATCAGAGTTGCTAGTGAGTACACTTGTCTCAATAAACCAAATCACTCGACAAGGAGAAGGCGTAGAAAGGTGAAGTTCTGAAGTGGTTTCAGCTGTAGATCTGTGAGTCCAATGCGGAGGCGATGGACGAGACAAGCTCCGTCTGCGCGGAAGGTCCGACATAGAATGAATATAAGTTTGAAAGTACGAATACAACATACAATGTTGCAACCAATTCGGGCCCAGCTCTTCAGAAACCTCTTCCAGCAGACTTTCTCACCTATACTTCAAAAGACAGGCAATGGGTCTCCGAATAAAGCACGTCTTGACTTGAAGCGATTTCCGGACCAACGCTCCGGACCGGCTCGCGTCCGAGGCACAGGTGCGCGAGATCCAGCGGGAGGCCTTTCAGCATGGCTTGAAGACCAAGCAGATCCATGAGCTCGTTGAGCGCATCGTCCGATTGCCCTGAGACGGCGGAGGGAATGGTTTTTACGCCGGAACGGCGGCGTGTCCGAGCCTGGTGGATCCTGAAGCGGAGCAAACGGTGGAGTCCTAAAGCGCTCAGTGGAGTGTGGGAAGAAAGTTCTTAGGTTCCCCCTGTGTGTGTGGCTGAAGCATGGATATTGCAGTGATCCTGGAACTGCATGTTCGAGAGCATTCGAACAAAGTGAAGAAGCTCGAGCTGCTCGCGGAGCAGCTCGCAGAGCAGCTCGTTGCAGATTTCAGGGTGGAAACTAGATCCATCAGGAGCTGTGTATAGTACATATATACTGTATGGTCTACCTCAACACACTTGAAGGAGGAGTGTTGAACCAGGTAAGACCGTGAATCGCTGAGAGTGAGTGGTCAAAGAGCCGCAAGAGACCTCAGCGAGGCGAATCATTTATCTCATTGGCCCAACCGACTGAGAGCCCTGCCTCTACCAGTTGGCCCAGAACGGAAGCTTTCGAGGAAAGATGATGGTAGAGTCTGTTAAGAGTCTGTTAAGACATTCGATGCATACAAGATGATCTGAGATATGATACTCAGCAGTTCTGGGCTCTTGGAGTCAGGGATCTGGGAGAATGTGGCCAGAGAAAGACTCCTCGACAGCGCGGAAAAAAGTCTAAACAGGTGGGAATCATCCGAATCTTCTAGAGGCCTGCTGTGCTAGTAGTGAAACATTCTGAATCGTTGAGGACCTGAAAAGATTTAAATCATTTGGGAGAACCTGGCACACCGTGACACCTTCCTGATTTTTCTTTGCGGTCCCAAATCCATCGCTGACCCGTCACAGATTTCCGACATCCGCCCTGAACGCGTCCTTTTGGACGGCTTAGGAAGCTGACACGGGACCGGAGGACCATTAGTCGTCGGGTCATCGAGTTGCCCATCGTCGACTGTGCACCATGCGGAGCTGTTCTTGATCGGGTATTTCAGGGAGCTTCCATGGAAGCTTCCCAACTCATATGTCTTGTCATAACTGGTCCATCACAGATTCGCCATTCGATTGGTTGGAAGAAGGGTCGCCCAGTTCCGTCTTTCCGCGGTGTGAGACCCGCTGCCCTGAAACCGAGGTTCTTCGCCCACATGCTCACCCTCCCAAGCGCCGAGGACAAACGATGCCAGGCCGAGAACTGGCGACGCGTGGTCCGCGGCCCTTCGGCCTAGGCAGAGAACTAAGTACATCACCAAGCACAGCACCTGTCTACAGGCGTTGCATGACTGATGGGTAGATATAAGACTGATTAGCGCCATTGGTCCAACCTAGGAATCTGCCCAGACTCTGGGTCTCCCATCGATCGCGCAATATTTGTGGGCGTGTCCATGAAAGAAAGTAGCAGCTTTTTGCAGAAAGTCTATTTTACTTTCAGTCATTTGGATTGCAGACGATAAGGGGCTTCGAACCCTACTGACATGCAGAACTAGACCATATATATATATATAATAGTAATAATAATATGTTTTGCCTGATTGAGCTAGACCTTTTCAAGACGCGTTATTCGGACTTTTCCTGCTTTGGATGTGTTCGATCATCTTGTTACTTGGAACCATGTTCGTTTTTTCAAGACTTGCAGGCTGCTCACCGTAAGCTTGCAGTGCTCCTTGTAAATCACTGAAGCGCGCGCTGTGCTGGTCGGCATCGGACAGCTTCCGAGTCGACTCGGAGAGCGCCAGGCGCCGAAGAACATTTTGCTGCGCCCCAACACAGTGCAGCTCGGCCAAGAAGCATCAAAAAGCGGGGTAGAAGGGAGATCGGAGATTGACGTCAGATGTCCTAGTTAATAGGGGTTCAGTTGCTGGTAGGGTGTGCCCCATTACCGGGCGCTATTTTTGAGAAAGGCCTTTGCTAACCCCTAACCATCATCATCCAGGGTTCCTGGTAATGTGACGACATACTCAAGCTATGGGTTTTCATCTTTGGGTAGATTCCTTGAGCACTTGAGACGAAGTCTTACCCAATGGAAGTCCCCATGGACCATCGCGGTGATGGATCGTGGACACGACGGACACGACGGACACCCAGCCGTCCCACGGTTCGGGTTCTGTCGGCTCGCGGTTCGCGCGGTCGTGTACGGTCATGCACAGTCTGTAGCAGACATGGACCATTAAAGAGGACGATCAAATGAACGTCAAATAGTCGAAGAGTCAAATAGCTTGGGTCTGTCCTTACCTGTGACTGTCAGTAAATGCTGATCACTATGTTTGAACAAGGCCTTTACTAACCATAATCATCCACTGTTACTGGTAGTAGGATAGACCCAACAAAGAGCTCTTGCAACACCCAGCCATTTATCATAGAATAACATCCTCAGCCTTCGACTCTGTGGCACCCCCAAAAAGACCAGCAAAAGCTAGGGAGTTGTGACTCCTCAGTTCAGTTTGCGCCGGATACGTGGGTCGAGCCTCTGGACAACTGAGGAGTTTTTCCGCATCCACCTTAATCCACCTCACCATTTCCCACCTTTCTGGACCTTTTGTGAGGCCAAGTTGTTCACCCCCCAACTTGGCCGTTCCCCATGTGTTGCACCACAGAACCGTCCGTTTTGGGTCTGCCCGGCCGTCCGCGCATGCCGCCGCAGCGCGGACCGGGACGGACATCTCATCCCACTGAAGAGCCTCAACAAATGCAAGATGTGGAAGTTAAATATCGAGAATGCTACTTGTGGGACAAGAGTTCAGAAATCTGACATCAAACTCTACCGAAAGAACAGGACACCATACTTCGGCATTCCTCTAATTTCAAAAGCATACAAAAGCATCCTTTTTGGTGGGTTTGGAGTTGTACCTGAGAAAGATCGGTGTCGCTTCAGGGGTGTCCCATCGACGTCTATCCACCACCGAGTTTCAGACTCCGTCTTCCGCGGACACGGAGACCTGCAGAGCGCTCGTCCCAAGGACTCACGTCGCACGACACACGTCGCTCGAGCAAACGTCGAGCGCTCGAAACGTCGCTCGAGGCGCGAGACGGTCTTCCCAAAGGTGTCTTCGTCTGCATGGAGCTGGCGAGCCCGGGAGACCGTACCAGGTCCTTGCTACACTCCCGAAAACTCACATGGTTATGTGGAGAAGGGCTCCTTGGAAGACAATTTTCCACTACAATACATTGTGGTTTTCCACTTCCATGTTAGTTCCGGGGAGAGTAGTAGCTTCGTGTTACTCGTAGTACGGCTCCTTGCTACGTTCGTAGCATCCTTGCTACGTTCGTAGCGATGCACCTACGGTCATCCCCCGTTTCTTTTTGCATGCCGCTGCCATACACATCTTATCACGTCTCTGAAAGGATCAGCCCACTCACTTCACTCCTCTTCCCACTTCCCAGGCCATTCAGGTTGGGGCTTCTCTTTGATCCATAGGTTTTCCCTGAAGACTCTCCATCTTTGATCGCGGCTGCCTTTCCTGGTGGGCTGTGGGCATTCCCCGGCACTGCCTTTCTGGTGGGCCGTAGTCCGATCCTGACCTATTCAGATCTTTTCAGTTTGTGAAGATTCAATCTCCATGTTACAAAGAGGTCTGTTTTGCCTGGAGACCTTCTTCTTGGCTTTTGTTGAGCCGTTTTATTAGCTCTCTTTTTCAGGCAGGCCACACGCCACCTGTTGGGACTTTGAACTCCGTTCGAGTGGCTGCTTGATGCTGCTTGTGACTGCGTCAACCTGCGTCAACAGCTTCGGCGTTCGAACGGGGCCTGCAGGAAGCTCGAAAGCTCCTGTTTCGATGGGACAGTTGGTACTCCAAAACAAATGATCACTTAGGCCCTTAGGCTCTATATAGAGGTTGTACTGATGGGACAAAGCCCCTGAATGTGTGCGGGAATTCGCTTCTCACTCGCTCTTTAGACCAGAATCTATGTAACCAACAGGTATCACTCTCTCTTTTAGGCTCGGCAAACAAATCATGGTATTAAGACCGGTAACATGGCCGTCATAATAGATGCTTTCGGTGTTTGGGGCATCTGCAAGCGACGCGACCGAAGGTCTTGGGCTTCCAGCTTGTCCGCATTGGCCAAATGGCCTCTCGGCATGCGAAAAACCGGCAGCTCAGTCGATGCGATGCATGGGACAGAGTCCAAATTAAATAACGAGTGCAGCGATCATGGATGGGTTCCGATCGAAGTCTTGGAAATCAAGCTCTTCGATCGAAGGCGTTCGGTTTTTCCTTCGATCTCTCTTCCCCCCATTTTGGGGATACTCGATATGGGTGTGTATTAGAGGTGGTCTCCCTCCCAAAGACCCCCTGGAAGAAAGAAAACAGACCAAAGCCTATTGGGCCAGGGGCTCTCCCTATTAAACTACACTCATATCTATAGTTTGTTTGAGTGTTCCATTGACCACGGGTGCCTTTGATCTCCATGTCTTTGCATCGCATCGGACCAACCGCCCCGCGGGCGAGTACCCGAGTTCCCCCGAGTTCGGTGAGTTCGGTCCGATCCTCGGAGCTCGACAAAGAGGTGAAGCAGTGAAGCCCAAACTGGACATGAAACAATGGTTTTTCATGTCCACCTAGGCACTTGCCGATCGATTGATTGAGAACACGCGAGACCATGCATCGGCGTGTGATTGAACACCGCAGCAAAGGTCTGTTGGACAAAAACACCTCGGATTTCCAGAAAAGACCTCATGAGTCGCCTCATGAGACTTCCAGAAAACCTTGGTCTTTTGGAGCCTGAGACTCTTTGGGTTTGGGTCGGCAGGATGCTCCACGGGACCTCACGCAGGCTCCACGCTTGCTCCACGCAGCGCTCCACGCGGCGTCTGAGGTGGTGGCGGCAGTGCCTGGAGAGTTCACGACCATGGCCGGAGCACGCACCAAGGAGGCCATGCCTGGGGCAGGTTCCGGAAGGTCCGGAGGGTTCCGAACCTCGTTGTCCTGGATTCAAGCTTCTAAGAAACCAACATTTTGGGTTCACGGTCTCCCTTTCTGAAAGCAATCCATTAACAATTCATGAAGTTCCACCTTCGAAGCCATTGCATATCATTGCACATCTGCACTTCGCATTCTTCATCAGCCAAAACAGTTCACTGAGTCGATGCTGAGATGCAGACCTCACGCCGTTTGGGTTTATCCAAATCCACAGACGGCGGGAGATGTGGGAGATGTCCTGCCTTTGAGATGTCTTAAACATCCAGGCGTTTGTGGTCAGAGCCATGCTTAGGCCACCGAAGATCAACATGGAACCTGAAGAACATGGAACCGTGCACGAAGAGAATCATTTGGAGGGTGTGTCCTTTTCAGGTGCTGTATCTTACGCATCGCATTGATAAAGATCCCACCGTTTAAGACTCTTGTACCACGTGATGTACGTACTGTAACAGTTTGATCATCCATGCTTTTTAGTGTCCAAGAGGCTAGGTGGTTAAGGCCCTGTGGTCCCTTTTGAATTCTTTTGATGTCCCTTGGCCTAGCTGGGTTTTCTCGGTGTCTCCTTGGGCCGCCGGATTCCTCGATGCACCCGATGCGGCTGTTTTTCTTCGGTTCTCCGATGGCAGGCGATCAAGAAGATCTTGGTGGATGGCGGCGTGATCGAAGAGACGGGCACCGTGGCGCAGAGCTCAGCGGGGAAGGGACCGACACTCTCCGGTTCCGTTTGCGGCGCCGGTCTCCGGCGGTCTCCGGTGTCCAAGTCCACTGGGGCCGTGAGACGGTCGAAACGCTCCGTGACACTCGAAGAGCTGTGTCCAGAAAATGACTGTCCAAGAAAATGACTGCCCATGTTTGCCTGGTCTTTAGCTGTGTCTTTCAGGTGCTGAATAACGTGGCCAGCGGCGTGGAGCCCAAGGAAGGACCTAAGGGTTACGCATCCGATTGCTCAATGGGTTGGAGGAACCACCTCTCTTGAGCTCACCGTCGCATTCGAGTAGGACAGCGCAGCGAAGGATCCGATCTATCTCCTATCACCTCCAGACCGCAAACCTCAGTCAACCTCAGTTTAAATGCGAAAACAAAGGTTCACCTTGCCGAACGATCGATCGGGTGAATGAATTCTTCTAACGCCTTACTGAGCGATCCACCCAGGCTATGCGGGCTACGTGACGACCTACGAGGCACCCGGGTGCCGGACGTCGTCGTGCGAGCGTGGGAGTCGCTTTTGATCACGGTTGGATGGGTTTATTCGGTGTGAGATTGGTACGGGTGCTGTCAGCCCATGTGCACCATGAAGTCAGCCATGTGTAGCCCAGTGTGTAGCCCATGCTCTCAGTGAAGTCCTGTTATTTGAGTCCAAAAGATTGGGATGTAGCTTCTTGTTCCTAGTAGCGATGCCCTTTGCTCCTAGTAGCTTC